GTTAGTACCATAAAAGAACACAAAGGGTATGCTTAGAATGTCACCTAATAGGGTAGTTGCTCGTAGGGAAAACATCAACTGAGTAAAATAAAAGTCGTCTAATCCAGGCTTTTTAAGATATTTTAACTGCTCTGCATCGTACCATTTAAATTGACATTCTTCTTCCATGCATGCTAGATATATATGGGGGACGGTTAGCCTTTAGAAGCTGTTTTTGAAAAATGCCAACAAACCTTTTATTTGATTGTTTCTGGCTTATTCACTGCTTCGAACCAGTCACATGCAACCACGTTGCGGGAAGCCATGTGATTAGCACTTGTTTATCAGAACGCTCTGAGAATAAAGCAATGATTGCCACGCGGCCATAATAGGGAAAAAACAACGATCCAAGGAGTGATGTTCGCTTATCTGACTTGACTGAAGGGCAGAATATCGACGTTCCGCTTTGCATCAGAACTCCAAAAACCTTCAAATTCCGGCTCCAAAGCAAGAGGAGAAACCAATATTCTGCCGCGCAATCAAATCAGACACAAGTGTCATTCATTGGAGATTTAAGAGCACCACAGTTTCGACCTAAACATACGCGATCAACTAGCGAGGTCTATAAGTTTTTATGAATGGACCTGCTAGATTAAACAGATCATATTAGGAGTTTCAATAGAGTACGATGTGTTGTCCAAAAACTGCGCACATTACAGAAATCATCATCCTTTACAAAAATGAAATGTGCGGTTGGAGGACTAGAAATATTAAAAGGCACTTTAATATCATTGATGTAAATTATTCGCACAACGCACTTCATTGTGAAAGCCACCAACGCGCAAAGGACTACAATGGCATCGAGTATATTCCAGGGATCTCGGCAGTATGCTCCTGGATGAAACACAACACCCAAGTCGATAATCTGCGGAAAATAGAAAAGACCTTGTTGAGGACATTTCAATTTTTTCAACTAGACCATCCTTTTATGTGCCGGAAAATAGTTCATTTATGTCCCTTGAGGCAAAACTGGGATAATTCACTATAACTAAGCTAGTTAATTGGTCCTGTTTATCCAAAAGGGTTCCTATGAACTTATCAGACATAAAGCTAGTGCTTTTACAAGTTGTTTACTACCGTCGCAGAGAACGAGGCCAAACTACAAGAAATACGTGAGGATGGTAGACGTTTTTGACGTTGCTCCTAATGGTCTTCTTGTTGAAAGTCTGCCGACTACCAACGAAAAACGGATAAATTTAGTTTTAAACAGAATTTCAAAACACCTTACATTCATTTTATTCGAAGTTGCAGTTCCTAACGATAGGAAACTGGCGACTATTTTATACAGGTTGAACTGATATATTGCATTCAAAGACTGTAGAAGCAAGCAAATATAACTGTAAAATCAGTTTAATGTCATTCTTGGAGAATAATCACGACCGCCCTCAAAAACTGAAGATTGACTACGGATTCGTCAGTCCCTTTGAGGTTTTGGCCATACAGCGTTCTATATCTGCAATGACTCCTATTGCTCTGCAAAACGAGGTGGACAAATTTTCTCTAAGACCGTTTGGTGGCTGTTAAGCAAATTTTACTTTGATCGGTTCGATGTGTAAACTTGGAACGCGATTGCCTGGCAAACATTACTAGACGCCATTGTGTATTATAAAGGTATAGGAATTTGTAGTATGAATGACAATGACGCAACGATAACCAAAATCTTGACTTCATGTAATCATACAAGTTTAATCCGAAGATCCTGCTCATTCGGCCGTTGAAAAGTGTGGGCGAAAGCAACAACAATAGTTTTGTTTTGTGTTACGGAGAGCACAAACAAGTTACTTGTCGCGAATGTTGAGAGCTTGTCTTCAATGCCGATCACATACTTGTAACTTATTTTGCATTTGAGGTTAACTCTGCCTCGATCCCTAATGTTCGACGGACAAACAGACGTTGACTGCAGGATGCAAGAATACAGTGCTTGCAACAGAGCCTGACGAAACAGAACGGATTTTTTTGAAGGAAGAGCTTTTGGCGGTGCATATGCAACAGCACAGTCCGCATAATCTATACATAACACAGGAAATGCTTATTGCGAAAAATATCTTAAAAAACCGGAAAATTTAAGAGTTTATTAATAATAACAAATGAATTATTAGTCGATACGGTTAAACTTAATGATCCAATTAACTCACTTTTCAATGATTCACAAGAGGAAAAGGACGCGCCACACATCCTCTGACCCAATTAACAATCGCTTCTCGTAAATACCTCGGCCGGGTTCGCACCTTCAGTCAAGCTCAGCCGAGCACTGTTCAAGTAGCCTAGCTAAATGTGCTCTCGTGAGCACAACGCAATCCATCGTTCACGCACTCCTTCGTCTGAAGTGTGCGTGCGTCAGCGCAAGTCGCTATGACCCGAGTCAACATCGAACCGCCATCGACAGGACCCGTCCACACCTTATTATCTTCGCATGAGGCGAAAAGCATGTGAGTTGCGAGCCCTTAGAGTCACACCCCTTCTGCGGGCAGTATACATGCAAATATAACGAATCCCCCTCCTCCACATGTTAAACAGCAGGCCTTTACTTGCGTCACACATTTACCCAGGCTCTGGACGCGCGGGGAAACAGCACTAGGAAGCCGAACAAGCCAGTAATAATCGGCCAATCACCAACTTCATGGCCATTGACGAGCAAGGTGGCCGGGCAAGCAATTATCGTCTCCATTACGAAAGTCCGTGACTAACATGGGAGCTGACAATTTCGTTAACTGTGCGGTTTCGTAGTTAATACGTTCTATAAATACTGTGCCCGTCGGGTGCTTGCTGCCTCTATTTCTTGACATAATCGGCGACAAGTATGAGCATGAGTCGGAAACCTGAGTTAAAAAAGCTTTTTCTTCTGGTGATCAAATATCGTCTTTCTCGACTCCTCCCCAAAAATGCTTTTCTGTATGTACCTTCTACTGGCGCCTTCTGGTAGTTCGAACCTTGGAGACTATGCGTCCGTAGGTTGTGTTATGTAGGAGAAATACTATCTTCATTGCTACGAACCTAGCAGTCGTTGTCAAAAAACGTTGTTAACAATACGTTGAGTGCGCAATCGTCAAATGTTGCCTAACTATTGTGATTAAGAAAAAGCTACCCAGCCGGTTAATCAACCAAAGTGAACTAACTTTAAGAACCATCTCAACAGTGAAAACACCAGTAAATGCGTAGTCAAAGTGTTCCAGGATCTTGTTCCGTGTTGAGTTTTCTGCCACGGGATCTTCAGTTGCAAGAGCAATGCTACTGGCGCAGATTACAATCATAATGAAGAGGTCAAAGTAGCGCAGATTGACAACAAAGTGGCAAAAACGCCTGATGCTAAAAAGGGAAAGACATGTAGAGTAATTCATCCGACACAAAGCAGGTAATATAAATAATTTTGTGCATCATGACAGTGCAATGAAACGTCAATCAAAATGTCTTTTTACAGGATCTGCAATGTTTAACTCGGTCTTTACAGAAAAATAGTGACATTTTTTTTATTCTTCTGGGTACGCTAGCGCCCAACTTACATGAAGAAAATAAATATGCTACGGCTATGATTGAGAGGGTTCTGCACTTTACGGGATAAATTTTTCAATGATTGTGTCTTAGCTGTAGCTTGTAATCTACCTGGAGCTTTCACGGTAATTAAATACGGACACGACTAAAAATCGAACTTGGTGCCTTAAGTTACAAAATAAGAGTATTGGTATAATTCCTGCAGTTGGGCCTGTCGTAAAATCAGATGTGTTCTGACATAACAAAGTGTTCATTTTACGTTAGTCATCAGTAACTGCCAACAACATTTCGAAATTTTGTTTTCATAACGTTCTACCAGGGGATAAAAGAATTCTTGAAAGTCTGTTCTATTCTATTTTTAATCGCCTTTGTATTCGTTTATTTTTTAAATCATAAAAACTAGTGAAACTGAAAGCTAGTTTGATAATGATGTACACATATACGGCGTGAGGGCAAAAAGCTACCATTCTAGCTCATCAGGTTTCATTGTCGCCATTCCGTCTGCTGGTTTGTACATTATGCAAAGCGACGACCCAATAGAGAATTATATAAGGGTCGAAGACAAGGGTATCGAGCAGGCTCCTCCCTACGGACAGATTAGCAGTGCAACGCCCAATGAACTCGACTTGGTTGTTTGAATGGTGGGAACGCTTTTGGCGCGAATCCAGGACGAAGATGGTGTGATCGCGTGTCGGCAAAAGTAGCCGGTGCCGTTCCTTCTCTACCACCGACCTCTACTCGCAACTTATCGCAACGCTCTCTCCCTCTCTGCGTCGGCACCTCCCACGGTCCTCCCCTGCAGTTGCCCACAGAGCTGCAATTCCCACCAGTTGTCTAGCGGACATTGTTGCGTCACCTCTCCATTCAGACGGATCAGCCCTGTGTTTTAACTCAACTTCCTTTGTACTGTGGTGAGGTACCGGACTAATTTACCTTTGACAATTTAGTCCCATTTTCTTTGACCAGATTGCTTGTTTGAATGTGACGAGAAACGACACACCTGTACAACCCGCCTTGTTGGCCTACGCTGTTATCGCGCTCTGTTTTCAGGTAACTTAACGTTAAAAATCTCTATATTATTCACTGCTCAGTTTTACTTGCTGCCTTTAAGGCCAGGGGCGCGTGAGATATAACTCTTAAGTTCGTGATAACATTACCATTCTCGTCACTGGTGGCTCCCGACGTTAACGCTGACCTTAGACCTTTCTGTGTGATAATGAATAACATTTAACGTATTATTTGTTTGTGAATTTCTATTCCATTTACATCTACTTTTCTCGCGAATTCTGATATTTCACCACCTCTCTCTTAATTATTGTGTCTCACTCCAGCCAACAACTTGATGTCCGCGTCCAGTCCCTTGATGCCGTCAATTATACCTCGCCTGAATTCTGGAAACACGCTCCAGAACTTTACTTCATCCGCATAAAAATCATCAAATCATCACATCATCCGATAAAATCGTCAAAGAGATGTTCCTAGAGCGTCTGCTCGCAGTTGTTCAAACGATCCTGGCGTCTGGTTCTAAAGATCTTACGGTCTCACATCTGGCTGAGATGGCGGATCGAATGATAGAGGTGGAACGGTTCCAGTCAACTTCCATTGCCCAGATCTCCTCATCGTCCGTGAATGATCATTTAATGAAGCAGGTGTCGGCCATGGCGGATGAGATGACCTCCCTTAAACTACAGCTCGCCCACCTTACTTCCAGTCGCTCACGCAGCCGTCGTCGTTCTCTTGTTGGTATCATACTAATTTCGGCGCAAAGGTCCGTCGCTGTTCCTCACCCTGCTCTTTTACGCGAAACAGGGAAACCAGTCAGCCGGAGAATAGATACTACCGTTTTCTCTGGCGCTTCCGGCTCTGGTCGCACCTTCTATGTTTGCGACACTGCGACTCGCAGACATTTCCTGGTGTACAATGGAGCCCAAATCAGCGTTGTTCCCCCAACTCCAGCTGATCGTCGTTTCCCTAGCCCTGATCTTAACCTCCAAGCTGCCAACTGTTCCCCTATTCGTACTTTTGGCAGTCTGTCCCTCCCCCTGAGCATTGGCCTTCGTCGGTCATTCACATGGCTCTTTGTGATTGCTTATGTCCCTCATGCAATCCTCGGCTCGGGCTTTCTTGCCGAGTTCGACCTCCTTGTTGACTGTCGACGTGCCCGTCTCCTCGACCGCACTACCGGTCTGTTTGTTCGTGGACTAAATATCTTTTCTGTCCCCATCAACTTATCTGTCTTGGGTACAGATATTTCTAGCCCCTTTCGACAACTGCTTATTAGTCACCCCAATATAATTAACCCCCAGTTTCGCAGTAGTGAGGTCCAACATGATGTTGTGCACCATATCCGCACCTCAGGTCCCCCTGTGTTTGTTTGGCCGAGACGACTAGCACCGGAGCGTTTTCAAGCCGCGAAGACAGAGTTTGAACACATGCTGCAACTGGAATAATTCGACCGTCCGAGAGCCCTTGGGCGTCCCCACTGCACATGTGCCCAAGGCGACATCAAGCGACTGGCGATTATCGAGCCCTCAACAGCGCTACCATTCCTGATCGGTACCCCGTGTCTCATCTTCAGGACTTTGCTGGAACCCTTTTCAGCAAAGCGGTTTTCTCGAAGATTGATCTGGTGCGTGCTTTTCATCCGATTCCAGTCGCCCCTGAGGACATCCCTAAAACCACTGTCACCACACCTTTCGGTCTCTTCGAATTCATCCGCATGTCGTTCGGTCTTCGTAATGCCGCCCAAACGTTCCAGAGGTTCATCGACCATGTCTTACGTGGCCTACCCTTTGTGTATGCCTATATTGATGACTTCTTGGTGGCCAGCCGGAATGAAGAAGAACACAAAGAGCATCTTGCCTTGGTATTTGACCGCCTTGACAATTTTGGCATTGTCATCAACCCCTTCAAGTGCGTGTTGGGTGTGCCTTCGCTCGAGTTCCTCGGTCATCAGATCGACGCTGAAGGTTTGCGTCCCCTCCCCTCCAAGGTTGAAGCAGTTCGTAATTGTCTTCCACCAACTTCCAAGCGTCAATTGCAGCGATTCCTCGGCATGGTCAGTTTTTACCGCCGGTTCCTACCGAACTGTGCTGACCTCATGTTGCCGCTCACCAACATGCTTTCTGGTTCCAAAGGTCCCCTCGTGCTGAATGGTAAAGCACTGACTGCTTTTGAGAGAATCAAGAATTCCCTTGCCGACGCCACCTTACTCAGGCATCCAGCTCCCGAAGCTCGGCTGTTCCTGATGGTAGATGCTTCGACCGTAGTCGTAGGTGCAGTCCTTCAACAACACCTTGCTGGTTCGGCTCGACCGCTTGCCTTTTTCTCCAAAAAGCTCTTACCATTCGAGACACGCTACAGTTCATTTGGCCGTGAACTACTTGCCATTTACCTGGCTGTGAAGCATTTCCGGCATTCCCTTGAAGGTCGGTACTTCACTCTTTTCACTGACCACAAACCATTGACATTTTGCACTTCGGTTCCACTCGGACAAGTAAAATTCGAGGGAAATCGCTCACCTGGACTACATCTCTCAATTCACCACCGACATCCGCCACATTGATGGCACGAAAAATGAGGTGGCTGATATGCTGTCCAAACCCTCACTGTCTTCCCCCCAACTCTCACATGGGCTCGATCTTTGCGCCATGGCGGCTGAGCAACAGCGAGTCGGTTGTCCTGGCGACGAGTCTGTTAGTGGTCTCCAACTCAAAGACGTTCCTCTGACCACGGGCTCTGGTACCATAATTTGTGACGTCTTAATTACCTTCCATCGCCCTTTCGTGCCCGCCTCGATGCCTCAAGCTGTATTTCAAACCTTGCATGCACTCTCCCACCCTGGGATACGAGTCTCTCAAAAGCTCCTCACGGAAAGGTTTGTTTGGCCTGGCATGAACAAGGACGTCAAAGCTTGGGCTCGGTCGTGTCTGAGCTGCCAGCGAAACAAGGTGCAGCGTCACAACAAGTCCCCAGCAGGCACTTTCCCCAGTCCCGACGCACGGTTCAGTCATGTGCACCCGGATGTCGTAGGCCCCTTGCCTCCATTCAAAGGTTTCACCCACCTCCTTACCTGTGTCGATCGATATACCCGCTGGGCTGAAGTTTTTCCTTTGCCGAATACGCAGGCTGAAACCATCGTGAAAGCATTCGTCAGTCGCTGGGTCGCCATGTTCGGTGCCCCATCCACGGTTACGACTGATCGTGGTGCCCTGTTTGAGTCGGCACTCTTCCAAACGCTAATCAATTTTTTTAGCTGCACACGCATTCAGACGGCAACCTACCACCCAGCTGCCAACGATATGGTTGAGCGTTTCCATCGCCAACTAAAAACCGCCCTGCGTGCCGTAGAAGACCCAGGAAATTGGTCAGACAACCTTCCTCTTGCACTCCTCGGCATCCGCACAGCTCTGAAGTATGATCTGGACTGTAGCGCAGCTGAATTGGTTTTCGGCACTACCCTCCGATTGCCAGGCGAGATAATCACCCCAAACTCTCGTGGGGCCGACGAGACTCCTGACAACCTTTTGCACCGTTTGCGGCAATTTATGCGCTTGCTTTCCCCGGTTCCACCTCAAACTCCAATGACTGAGTCTTATGTCGAAAAATACTTGGACAAGTGAACTCATGTGTTCGTCCGGTGTGACCGTGTGTTCCAGCCGCTGGAATCCCCATATGAAGCACCGTTCGGTGTGCTCGCGCGCAACGCCATGACCTGCCGGATTCTTCGCGGTGACAAGGAGGACGTGGTCAGTGTCGATCGGGTCAAGGCTGCTGTTGCAGAGGAGCCACCGGACCTGTCACAAGGACAAAAATGTGCTGACCCCCCCCCCCCCTGTTCCTCCATCTTCCCTTTCTCCTGCTCGTTCACTCTGCCCATTGCCTCGCCCTTTCCCTCCGTTGCTCTCTACCCCTCCGTCCCGCATACTTCCTCTCCCTACATGTCTACAGCATCCAACTGCAGCATCATCCTCCACCATAGCACACAGTCAACCCTCTTCGACTCTACCTCCTGCTTACATCACTCGCAGCGGCCGTCACGTTCATTCCCCGATCGTTTAGTTACGCATTTTTTCTAGACTTATGCATATACTCAGGCGCCGTAATGCGTCGACCTTCGGTCTAGTTGGGGGGTATTGTTGTGAGGTACCGGGATAATTTATCTGTGACAATTTAGTCCCGTTTTCTTTGCCCGGATTGCTTGTTTGAATGTGACGAGAAACGACACACCTGTACAAACAGCCTTGCTGGCCTACGTTGTTGTCGCGCTCTGTTGTCAGGTAAGTTAACGTTAAAAATCTCTATATTATTCACTGCTCAGTTTTACTTGCTGCCTTTAAGGCCAGAGGCTTGTGAGATATAACTCGTTAGTTCGTGAGAACATTACCATTCTCGGCAGTACCACTTACCGTTTTCCTATATACCGATCTCCTTTTTCTGAGTATACAATTTGCGCCTGTTTTTATCTTCTTTCTTATTGCATGGTGAGAAGGATTCCCACTTCACAACCCTGTTTAGCTCGATTTAATTCAGGTGTTATCCTCAGCACTGCACGTTACGGTGTGTGTGTGTGTTACTCTCAGCATCTTCGGCCGCTACAAAAAAGCCAACTTACACAGAAATGCGTCCCCTGTCATTCCTAAGAGTCCAGTATGCAAGGCTCCTGAGCACAACTATGTTTTGCTATTGAAGGGCACTGATTTGGGATGTGAGACAAGTTGAGAAAACACCAACGTTTTGCGAACTCCTGTAGAGACGTGGGTTATGAATTACAAAGTCTGCTGATGACGGGTCTGTATAACCTTGCCTTGTGCACACTCACTATATGAAAGAGAGATGTCAAATTCCGCGATTGGACCCGGTATGCGGGGGATGTTGGCACAGAGGACAAGTGGACAACAGCTTAGAGAGTGGAGCAGAGAGAAAATTCTGTCCTAACATTTAGGCCCCTCAAAACGTACGTAAATATAGTAGTACAAATCCAGTGTTAAAGACATCTTAGGCACTCGTTTATTTGTGAGTTGTTTTGACCTGCGTTTACACCTGTATGTTTATATCTAGCTAATTTCATCCCTTGGGATTCATCGTACATTTCTCGGGTCAGGGGTTGACACGGTTTCACCTCATTTATTGAGTAACGATGTTAAATTTACTCGAACATTTAAACTCCTAAGTTGCTTCTGTAGACATTTAATATATTGCCTTACTCGTCTATCTTCGCAAGGCTTATTGCAGAAGTCATATTGTTATTAATCTAGAGCTTCAGGGGTTCTGTGGTGAATAATTATTCTGACAAAATATATGCGTGAGAATATAACGTGGCTGATTCATAGTCTAAATTTATTTTATTCTGTCTGATTTTGATGTTACTTATGGAAACGACTTTCTGGTCCTCCGGATTTCGTGCAACAATGGAAGGTAGTCCACTCGAATGCTTTGTTTTATTGGCCTTAACCTAGACTTAAATAAGTTTACATTGCAGCATTAAATGCTTCCCGTTACCCACGGCTATTTTTCACAGATGTAGCTTCCGTGTGTGTTGTCCACGCTTGAGAAAATCTCTTGCGGCTTAAATTTAAAAAATGTGCTCTTTGAGGGTTAGAGAATGCTTTCACGTGGTTTGCACATATCAACTTCATAGAAAACCTGGTCCTTCTCGTAAAATGTTCTTTATTTACTTACTTGTGCTTAAGACAGGACAGGAAATCCAAAATTTCTGAGCTTAATTTCCTTGAAGTCTAATGGTATTGTCAACGTTAACCGGTGCACAAGACACTTAATGAGTAAGGCATGTTAACTTTCGTTTGACAATGTAAATGAGATCATCATGTTTATAAGGACTGTTTGTCTGATAGGTGATCATGGAAAAGCAGCTTTTTATGCAACTACATAAGTAGGTGTGTTTTTCTGTCCATTTTACTATTAGGAAATATGCACGTCGAGGTCAGATCTGTTTCACCGTGCCCAGTTTTACTGAAAGACGTAAGCTTGTTCGTAGTATTGATCTCAAATGTAACTGAAACACTCGAAAATTTTATTACTCCCTGAATGGTGATTTAACTCAATCAATATGCGCATTATTTGCGGTTGTGTATGTATGCAGTCAATTTGCCTGTCGGAATGTATATGGGGAAAGCGTCTACTTGTTAAGCTGATTTCAAATATATAAAAGCTTGCGATGTCTGTAAGAGGACTCTGAAACGTCAGGCAAGAGATTACGATATAAATATCGCTCGGACATAAAACAATTCGTCACAGAAAAAGTAGGTTGTTTATGATGACGTTTTATTTAGAACACCAGTACCAGCCGCTATTCAACTGGCATATCCAGTCTGTCCGGAAAAACTAAACATGTGTGATTTCTTGATAACTTAAATTTTTGGACTTCCATTCTACATATCAGCGTTTTGGATGAAAAATAAAATTGAAAATAAGCAGCGTATCAAAATAAAATAATATTTAGCCATCTTTTTCCACAAAATTAATATATTCGAGTTAAGCAGACAGTAAAAGAGTGGTGACTAAAACATCGAAAATCACGGCCTCAATTGCCCCCAAAATGATGCCCAATTTGCCTTATACAGACAGGTTTTTTGATTTCTAAAAAACTGTTGCACTAGGCAACATTTCATAAACCAAACAATACGACGTTCTTTACGTTGGATATTAAAATCGATGATACATGGCCGAACATTAATTTTCTCTGGCAAACAAGCCAACGAAATACATGTTTAGTTGATTGACACTGAACTCATGTGTTTCATGCCTCTTATTTTTACGCGAATAGTACGTTAGTATGCACGATTGATGAACGTACCCGTTGTTCGGAGCGAAGATAAACATAGAGCTGTAGGGAAGGACAGGTTTTCCCTGTCGTTTTGTTTCTGCCTTTGGAATTTGACCAGTATCATCGCTTTCGACCGACAGAAAGTGCTGTCCAAAACCTTAACATGGAAAAACGCTTATTGCAGTATTATTTTTCGAGTCTAAACCCACGTAGTACTTTGCCTTCTCATAAAAGCCAATAATGGCCTTATATTCCTTTAAAATATGCCATTAGTACACGCTACAGACCACAAATTGCGTCTGGAGACGTAGACTTCAAAATTTATGCTCGTCCGGCCTTCTGTAAATTATAAAGATCATGTCGTTTTCGCTGTTTGTTGTTAGACTGTTCTTAGACAGCCCATAATTTATTAATTCACGTCTCATTATCACCGCGACTAAGAACCGCAGGTTTACGTAAGTAAAATTAATAAGCAGCCTCTAAGTTCACGAGACTGGTTTGAAGAAGCGCAGAGGTTAATGAGCAGTATACACGCTTTGTGCATATAACCATTTAGAGGTTATTTATAAGCATTTTGCATAAACTAGACAGGAACTCGTGTTCACTGTGCTAAAGAATGCTTGACCATTAAGCCGTCTAAGGAGGACAGTTGCACTTTGGCCAACCAGAACGAAGGAGCAAAATAGTCAATGGTCATACAGCGATTGGTATATACGGAAGTACAAATTAACGGCACTTTTATTTGGCTGTTTAACTAAATCAAGTAATTTCTTCTGTTGGTCAATCAAAATCAACGACGATTTTACCTTTTTAAAGGCAGATGAATAGGTAGTAAGCACAAATACATGAATAAAATAGTGAGGAGTATTTTATAAACGCAAGTGAGGAAAACGCAGTTTTTGACACTACAAAAGAATAGAAAATTAATCTCACGTTTTTCGCACTCTTGTAGAAACAATGTATTTTGAAAGGCCACATCCTTCTATGCTGACCTAGAGCCAATTTAATCGTTTAATCGCAACACCATAGATGAGACTAGAAAATGCAATTTTATTATTTTTGTCTAGATTTTTTACGTTAATGCATTTGAATAATAACACGCTTTGGTTTAAATTTGACTTCTGTCTTGTACGTTTTGAAATAAAAAAGGCTAAACTCATTACGACAATGACGCGTGGGAGTGTTCTATGCCTGTGATAAAAACTTACATGGAATCACCTCTACTGCATATAATAATCGGCGCAGAATTATGAACTCAATTTTCACGACTGAAATTATTTTCGTTTTTAATTTCACCTGCAGTTCTGCCGATAAGTTAGGAGAAATTCTTTTAAATGGTCAAACGTCTTCTCCAATGGAACATATCAGCCTCAAAGTAGGCTAGCTTATTTATCCTTCATTCTGAGTAGTAATTTTTCCTGATATTTGCATAAGTAAATATACCCCAGTGGGTAGTCTAAACATTTCACGATATACGTTTGCACTTCACGCAAGCATGGTCCGCGCCTGATCGGCCATTTTGCCCGATCCTCCTCAAGTCTTCCTAGCTCTGTCATGGCATTGTGATAAGGTGGGTGAGAGAGGACGGAGTGAGGTGTATATTGCGCAGGACACCGTTCCTATGCCCATAATATTGCGAGGCACATAGTGGACACCATCGTTTGCAAGCTACCGTGTGTCTACATGTTTTCTGACTTGCGATTGTCTGGGAAAATTAGAAAACGCGACTTCTATTATCTCGTTTGTCTGTCTTTTTTGTGTCGATGTTCCAACCGAGGACGGATTAGCTAGTAATAAGAGGTTCTCGGGGAAACCTTTAAAATGCTTTGTCTAAAT